TCAAATTGTTCATTTTCTTGTTCAGAAGGATGAACATCTTTGGCATCACAGATCGATTCCTGCCTTTTAGTTTTTCTTGGTTTTATATCTTTCGATCCAAGTGGCCTGCCACGCTTTTTGCGTATAGAAGAATCATTTGCTAAAGATTTTTCAGAATTCTCTGTTGGGATTTCGATTCTGGCAGGGGCATTCATGGCAGGAATATGTGACTTTGTCACTTTCTTTGTGTCTGTGAATGCATCAGGCAACTGATTTGCAACATTTTGTAAATGGATTATCTTTTGCACCTCTTGCTCACATATATTTGATTTTGAGTCAAGATGTGATAATCCTATTGCATTCCATGTTATTTCTTTCGTATTTGGGTCCGATTTATTAGTTTCTCCCCCTAAGGTTGGGAATACTGTCTCATTAAAATGACAGTCAGCGAACCGTGCGGTGAATAAGTCACCAGTCATCGGTTCAAGATATTTGATTATTGAGGGAGATTCAAATCCAACATAAATTCCCAACCTTCTTTGAGGACCCATTTTTCTACGATAAGGTGGAGCAATCGGAACATAAACAGCACAACCAAATATTTTAATGTGTGCTAAGTTTGGCTCTTGTCCAGTAACTAATTGCATTGGAGAATATTCATGATATGCAGTCGGTCTAAGCCGAATTAAATTTGCTGCATGTAAAATAGCATGTCCCCAAGCTGATGAAGGTAAATCACACTTCATTAATAATGGTCTAGCGATTAATTGTAATCGTTTAATCAAAGATTCAGCAAGACCATTTTGTGTATGGACATGAGCAACAGGATGCTCCACATCAATCCCAATCGACATACAATAGTCGTTAAATGATTGGGATGTAAATTCTCCTGCATTGTCAAGTCGGATTCTCTTTATAGAATGATCCGGAAAATGAGCTCTTAATCGTATGATTTGAGCAAGGAGTTTAGAAAATGCTAAATTTCTAGTCGATAAAAGACTAACATGTGACCAACGTGTTGAAGCATCAATCAACACCATAAAATATCGAAATGGTCCACATGGTGGGGCTATCGGCCCACAAATATCTCCTTGAATCCTTTCTAAAAATGCAGGTGATTCAGTTGCAATTTTGTTCATTGAAGGCTTGATGATTATTTTGCCAAGAGAACATGCCTTACAAGGAAAATCACTTGATACTGGAACCCTGATATTCTTTAATGGGTGTCCAAGTGAAGTCTTAATGATTTTATGCATCATTACTTGGTCTGGGTGACCTAAACGGTCATGCCACAACATGAATGTTTTCCGATCATCTAACTTTGTGTTAGAAACCAAATTTATTTCGAATGGACTAATATATGTGAAATATAGTCCTGAGGAATATGCTGGCATTTTTTCACAAAAATATTTAGCGCCAGATTTAGTTGTCGTGAGACAAAGATATTCCTTTTGGTTTTCATTCATGGTTTCTATGTGATAACCATTTTGACGCATATCTTTAAAGCTCAATAAATTTTTCCGTGATTTGCTGGAGTATAAAGCGTCATTTATTATTATTTTTGTCCCATTAGGTAGCATCACATATGCTTTCCCAGAGCCTTCAACGAGCTTCGCAACACCTGATATTGTATTGACTTTAGCTTCAACTAAAGTCATTTGAGAAAAATATATTTTATTTCTCAAAATGGTGTGCTTTGTGGCGCTGTCTATCAGACATAGCTCTTTATCATTTGAGTGATCCATATCTTCAAAATGTGTAAATAAACATAAGCTTGATCACAAATTGTGCATATAATTTAACACAAAGTACATATATTACACACATTTATTTAAAAAAAAAGGAAGAAAGAAAAAAAAATACATAAAACTAATATGTTACAACATAAGGATCAGAGTCTAATATTTTATTGTGTGACATTTTGGTTTATTGCAAAAGCATCGTCCATAATGGCATCATCCGCGAAAAAGTCGGACACGTCAAATTTTGGCAGAGGTGGAGTCGTGTCGTTGATATAATTAGCTTCCATAATTTTGTCGTTGTTCAAGTTCATGGAAGCTTGAAATAATTCCACCAGATGCTTTGCAGTGCGGCATTTGTTAGCCCAATGCCCTGTCATGCCACATTTATAACAAGTCGTCTTTACCGAGGTTTTTGGAGGGCGATTTATTTGATGGGCTTTTTGTTTGCCCTTGCCCTTATAATTTGGTCTATTGACCTGTTTATATTCTCGGTGTGACTTGTTTTTATGACCATTAAAATGCCCACGTTTAAAATGTCTTCTACTGCCACTGTATGTTGCATTTGATTCAGTGGCTAAATTATGGCCAGATGGACCATAAAGCGAAGGACTAGAACCAGTGGGTCTCAGATTATGATTTTTCATCAAAAGGTCATTATTTTGCTCAGCTACCAATAATACTGATATTAAGTCGGAGTATTTTTTAAAACCCTTTTCTCTATATTGCTGTTGGAGCAGCATGTTAGAGATATGCATAGTAGAAAAGGTTTTCTCCAACATATCAGCATCAGTGACTTTTTGTCCGCATAACTTTAATTTAGATGTTATTTGAAACATAGCAGAATTATAGTCACTGATTGATTTAAAGTCCTGGAATCTTAGATTGATCCAGTCATACTGAGCCTTAGGCAAAAGGACCTTTTGTTGGTGGCCATACCTCTCTTGTAAATTGTCCCATAATTCTTTTGGGTCATCAACCAAAAGATATTCAGATTTGAGACTTTCATGGAGATGGTGACGGAGAAAAATTATAGCTTTCGCTTTATCCTGGGACGATGATTGATTATCAACCTCAATGGTGTCTTCAAGACCATTAGCCTTCAAATGTGCTAAAGCATCAACTTTCCATTCAAGATATTTTTGGCCGGACAGATCAAGAACGTCGAATTCACGTTTGCTAATATTTGCCATGATATTCTACAAAAATTATTGGTTTAGTAAAATTGTAAATATTATTTGTTCCATAAAAGTTAATAAATGTATTCATTCATATGGATAAATAGAATCATGTTTCAATTTAGAAATTGGAGTAATAACTTTTATTCTATTTATTTAAATATAGATAAATATGTAAGACTCTAAGACTCCATACACTAAGATTTGTAACAACAAATTATGAAATTTGTTTAGTGTATAGTGTGTCAGGCAGTCATAAGTTAAGCGAACTTAATAATTTATTACGGAGCATTATTAACCGTTAGTTTGTACTGTATAAAACATTATGACTGCAGCAAATTGTTTCTATTTTATACTCCCTCCGTACCGCTAACAATGGGACAAAAGGGAGTGAAACGCAAATCAATAAAAAGTAGTTTATGTGGTTTATATTGAATTGATAACATAAGAATAAAGTAAGAATGATTTAGAGCCACACAAACTTTGCCAATTTTGGTATGGGACAATCTTAGTGGGATGGACCGATAAGGTAAAACAGGACAATCATAGCGGGACGGAGATAGTAATTCATTTATTCAATCTAACGGTGTAATTTGTTTTTATACTACCCGTGAGGTTGTGTGAGTAAAGACAAATTCATTCAGACTGAGTGCAGCTCACTGCACGAAGTCTGATCATTTTAATTACTCAACTATATTTGTTGATTTATACCCGTGATGAATGACTATGCATACAGCTCCTAATCTTAATATATAGAGAGTACATAGCAACTAGGAGTAGGTAATGGAACATCAGTTGAATTTAGGAGTACGTAGGGCACTACTCCAGATTTATCATCTCATTTACATCCTTTTTTTTAGTACGTAGGCATATATATACTTTTATATTTTAGCTTTCTCCTTCTTTATTACTTCACATACTCCTTATTAAGGAATATTAATATTAGAGATAATTGTGATTTTTCTCCTTGTACGAACAAAGAAAGCATTCAGATGATATAAATTAATGGAGAGTATATTCCAAAGGTATGTGCATATTTAAGATTATGCTTTTGTTTAATATAAAGATGGATATGAATTTATGATGTTTATACCTGCAGGAGTTGATGATTTCTTGAAGAGTTTTGAGCAGATTCGTGCTGATAACGTGTTGTGAAAATGAAGAAGATGGAGACTAAATTTGAGAGATAGATATATTAATAAAAGCTCTAAATATCTTCTTCTTAATATATGAGAATTTCTGAATTTCTGAATTTCTAAGTTAATTTACAAAGAATTGAATTAGCCCTATTTATACTAGCCAGACTTGGGGATGAATCATCTAGGAATGATTCTACACAATTTGCTGGCAGTATTAGATCTACCCATCTGTCTAACTATGATTACAAGGATATAAATTAGACGAGTAAGCTTATTACAAGGATCAGAAGTAGTTTGGTGTCCTAATGACAAGGATGGACATTCACACTTGTTAATTTGGTGATTTTACAACAGTACAACATTTTTAAAATTTTAAAACGCCTCGTGAACAGTTGTTCATTAGCACTATAATCAATTGTATAAATGACAAACTTTGCTATTTTGCTTTATACATTTACACATTATATACTACTCCCTCTGTCCCTTAAAATAGTTCCCACTAGGATTTGAATCGGAGTTTAAGAAAATGAGAATAAAGTGGAAATATAAGGTTGTTGTTGTGTAAGAAAAAAGTAAATGAATTGTAGTTACACCAAAGATTTTACTACGACCCCTACCAGTTCCGTCATTTTTCTTCCTTTTTGAATAGAACAGAATATAGATACCCTCCCGTTGTAACTTGTAAAGTGCAAGTACCCGCACGGATAGCTCAGTTGGTCGAGTGGCGGGAGATTTGGAACAATTGACCAAAGTTCGAATCCCCGCAGCGACCGGGTGGAGGTCACAGAACCGGGTCGAGTGGTGCGCACGGGTGTATGAACCTACTGCCATTCTGCTGACTGAATCAACGTGACTAACCTCTCCACCATCCTGTCGGGTCGGGGTGGGGGCTCCTGGGATGGGAGATTCCACCTTTTTTGGAACAATTGTAAAGTGCAAGTGCCCATGAGGTCTTCAATCTAATTAAATTATTCTTTTGGCAATCACATGGAGATCATGGAAGTCTCGCGTTTCCCACTTCTTTTGCCTCTTTCCTTTTATAATTGAATGCGTTGTTTATAAATAAAATTGCTCAACTCTCTCACTCCGTCTTCCCCAGTTTAGTCTGCTAAACTGTAGTAAGCAACCAATCTGTTCTTCAGATTTCTATCTATTTCCCGATTATGTATCTGTATCTATTTCTTCATTTGGTATAAATATAACGAAAAAATTATGTGGTCTGTTGTCATCTCATTCAATAATAAATGATAAAGAAAAGCGCAAACTTTTAAGTTGTAATCTAAATTCATTTTCTGTTTTTTTTTTGTGCTTGTATGTAGGTATTTGGCATACAGATACAGTATCTTCTTTTGATCTGCTATTGAATAGTTAGTTTACCCATTAAAAATGCAGGCTTTTACTAGCTACTAGAAGGGAATCTGGTCATTGTATGTTTAAAGATTGTGAATTGAGTTTTATCAAGGGTCTGAACTGATAATTATGTCTGCATATGGCCATTTGATGGAAAGAGATTTTTCTGGTCAAAGTCTTTCAAGCAGAGAAAATTCAGGTTCGTATTTCAATTTTTTTTTTTGTTTTCAGCATGACTTTGATCGCAACACCTAGACACACAATTTTTCCTTATCGTGATTAAATCAAAGATATGAGAAACTGAAATGAGGGTATTACTTGGTCTGGGATGGGGTTAATGTGCTGTCATTTAGACTTCATGTTATCAAATTGCTTGTTTTTGAGATTAATGGATTTTCCCATCTTATTAAAGAGTTGCATTCTACCTTAAGATTACGTTTTGATTGAGGATTATGAGGGGACCATAACAACAAAATATAAAGGCACAAACTCATATATGGAGTATAAAAATATGGGTTACTACTGTTTTTGGTATGGAACCCCGAATTTCAATAAAGATGATGCTATAGAATAAACATCCAAGGTGTTTGATAGGAAGTCTATCATACAAGATGTTCTATGTTGATTTGTATCTTTGAATTTAATCAATACATAATATGTACTACGTAGTAGTAAACACTCTGTTCTAACACATTTTTTGAATATTGTGATTGAGTTTGCTTATTGATAACAACTTGCGCAGAAATGGGAAGTCATTTCACCATGGAATCGGGAATTTACATGTCACCGTTTGCAGCCACTGTCTTCTTTGCTGGGCTTGTGACAGTTGGGGTTTCACTGATGACACTAGTAATTACCTTATCTGTGATGTTACAATCTTGTCAAAGTAAAAGTTCTGGGGTTGTAGAGAATCTTCTTGAAGTGCCCAAATCCACTTATTATGATCATCACTGCTTGCCTTTTGCAATGCATATGGTGCTGAACAGTTTGAATTCAGATTCTTTCCCTGATGTTTGTAAATACTCCTCAGTTCCATGCATCACAGAAGGCCAACCTATGGAGGATTTCAATATCACAGTCCAGCTGATTGAGAATTACTTTGGCACAATCAAACCACTTGAACATGGCCGTGATGTTGTGTTGATGGATGTCGATGATTTTTTTCCCGAAGATCAATCATTTTATCAGTTAAAACAATTCTCTTCTACTAGTCTAATCTAAAACTAGATTTCGTTTCATCTTTCAATACTTAAACTGATAGTATAAATAGTTATATACGTTCATTGTTCGTTTGAATTAATATATGTATTCAATGTGAAATAACCTAACATGTCCCCGTGTCCACAAAATGGCAGCTCATTCTCTCATGATACTAATGGTTAGTTATATATACATATATATTTATATTTCACTTTGCATTGTTATATTTGTTCGATGTGAAACGACTTAACATGTGTCACAAGTTGACAACTTAATAGCTAAGAAATGTTTCCTTATGTCATCTTTTTTGGCTATTTACGAGCAAAGTTAGACTAATGGTGGTCTATCTTTTACAGAGTTGAAGAAAATGGTTGCTCTAATTGTAAAGAAGGTTACATAAAATGCTCGAAACAGGTTTTTGTCTCAAAGTTGTATATGAAACTTCAGGCCAGTGGGCTGAAATTGGTTTTGGTATCAAGAATGCCCGAGAAATTGCGTAATGTCACAGTAGAATATCTTCTTTCATTGGAATGCAGTGGTTGGTCCTCACTAATTATGCGGTATTCCCTCTTCTATATATTATTATAGTTGTTGCCTTGGTTTGCTCAACAACAGACACCTATTAGCAATGCAAAAGTATTGGATATTGTGTGAATTATTGAATTCTAAAACTTTATTAAGATTAGGAGTTCCATACTAAAATGTCAAACTTATAAATAGTATAGGATCTTATAAATTTAGTTTCTTATTTTATATTAAACCGGTTTGAGATAAGCACTTGAACAAAAAGTAATAAGAATGCATATTTACTTGATTTATGATCTTGTAATGAGTGGTCAAGTGTATTATATCTTGATATAAATAGTTATTTAGCGCGAGATTTGTCCCTTGAAATTGGTAGTTCTTTTGTCATTTGTGTTGGTTAGTACTTGTGAGCTCATGAATAGCATGACTAATGGGCTATCCTATTGCAGAAAAGAGCACGAAAAGCAGACAGATACTTGGGAATACTTCTTCATGCAATGGAAAGCTTTGGAAGAGGCGGGATTTCGCATTGTAGCCGCTACTAGTAGCCATTTGGATGCTCTAACAAGCCAATCTTCATTCACCGGTGTTTTCAAACTGCCAAGCCCTATTTCAAGATCAAGTTAAAGATCAGTTTAGAACATCGGAAGTGAAAAAATTACACCCAACCTTATTAAAGCTCCTGCTACTACTTGAACATTTTACATAGAAAATGATTTGATCATAGGTTTAGAAAAATGAAAACTGATCTTGTTTATATTGGTGCATACTGACTGGCTACCATGCCTTGGTATACATGTATATCCTCCACATTATAGATGAAATTATTAAAAATGCTTGTCAAAATAAGATGAGAGGATAATATTATATATATAAAATAGCATAAAAAGCATAAAGTATTTACCATAGTAAACTTCAGAAAATCAGAACAAGCACTTGTATGTCAATTGATAATATTCATTGCAATTATTATTGGGTTTGCTATAATGATTGAGTAATATATTAAGGAAAAAACAAATCTCAGTTTAAGACGGACCCATCCAAATTGTTTCTATCCCATTTTTGTTTGATTACTAACGCTATTTATTTATACTAATATATATTTAATGTTTTTTAGTGATTAAATAATCATTGAAACTAATTTGTACTTCCTCCGGTTCTTATTTAAGTTCCCAGTTTGACTTCACACATATTAAGAAAATGAATTTGACTTTACTGTTTGGCACTGTTTGGGCACTGTTTGGCACTGTTTTGCACTGTTTTGTTTCCTAAAATGGAAGTGTGAATTTAAATAAGGGACATCCCAAAAAGGAAAGTGAGAACTTTAATAAGAACCGGAGGGAGTATTAACTGTTTAGCCAAGTTCCAGTTGCAGCTAACTTAAGCCAATAGTGTTTTTTTATTGCGGATCCAATAGTGTTGTTTTTGTTCTAGTTTTTATTATAAATATGTTGAAGTCATAACAGATGACTTCGATGACACAAAGAAGTACGAAGTACTCCTCCGACCCAAAATTATTGTCTCGCTTTCTTTTTCTTTCCGTCCCGAAATAATTGTCCCGTTTCTAAAACTTTCTTATTTGGTAAACAAATCTATATCAAACAGTGTCAAACAGTGCAAAACAGTGTCGTTACAGTGCCAAACAGTGTCGCTACAGTGCAAATAGTGTCGCTACAGTGCCATTTTCTTAATCTGTGTGAAAAACCAAACGGGACAATAGTTTTGGGACGGAGGGAGTAATAGTTAATATAAATTATGTAGCCAACGAAGCATAAGCTTGATCCATATGAGTGATCCAACGTGTTGAAGCTGCCTATCAGACATAAAATAGCTCCACTGAGTGATCCATAAGCTTGATCCATAGTTAAATGTCTGATTGATCCTTTTTTCTCCTCTCTCTTCACGCTTACCGCCGCCCTCATGAGTTATTCCGATAACTCCACTGCCGCAGCCATGGCTTCCTCGCCCATGAGCTCGACGGCGGCCGCCGCTGCCTCTCCTTCTCAGGCGCCGGCCACTTCCTCGATCCCTCCCAGGACGAACCATCCAGGTCTTTCAGTGCCGCTCTCTTCTTCGTTGGCTACAATTCCAAGTGCAGTCGGGTCTCCGGTCATGACGCCAACACCATCAACACTTTTTAACTTTAAATTATTGTCTCGCTTTCTTTTTCTTTCCGTCCCGAAATAATTGTCCCGTTTCTAAAACTTTCTTATTTGGTAAACAAATCTATATCAAACAGTGTCAAACAGTGCAAAACAGTGTCGTTACAGTGCCAAACAGTGTCGCTACAGTGCAAATAGTGTCGCTACAGTGCCATTTTCTTAATCTGTGTGAAAAACCAAACGGGACAATAGTTTTGGGACGGAGGGAGTAATAGTTAATATAAATTAGGAATCATTGTGTTTTTTGGCAACTATTATTTAATATAAATATATCTGCCGGGGTTCCCAGAGGAGTACCCTTTTTCCATTATTTTCACATGGTATCAAGAGCTCAAACCTAACTTTTTTCTCCTCTCTCTTCACGCTTACCGCCGCCCTCATGAGTTATTCCGATAACTCCACTGCCGCAGCCATGGCTTCCTCGCCCATGAGCTCGACGGCGGCCGCCGCTGCCTCTCCTTCTCAGGCGCCGGCCACTTCCTCGATCCCTCCCAGGACGAACCATCCAGGTCTTTCAGTGCCGCTCTCTTCTTCGTTGGCTACAATTCCAAGTGCAGTCGGGTCTCCGGTCATGACGCCAACACCATCAACACTTTTTAACAATTTTCCTCCAATTCTCGGAGACAGTGGTGATGTGAGAAACTGATTGAGCAAGGGCCGACATCGGAGATCCAAAGTCGGGCTGATCAGGCGGCCGAACCACACCAGGAGATCCAGAAAAGGTGGAGCCAAAGAAGGTAGGGGCGGCCTGGTGCGGTCCAAAGAGATTGGCATGCTGCGGCAAGGTTGGAAACAGGGGAAAGCCTTCAGCCGTAGAGTAATACTTGAGACCCGAGGACGTTGCGTTCCTAAGTGGGGGTGATTGTAATACTTGAGATTTAATTTAAATGGATTAATAGTACTACTCATACCAACAAGGTGTATCTCCTTTTAAGGGAGCTCATTAGCCAATAACTCAAAAGTTAAGCGTGCTTGCACGGGAGTAATCTTGGGATGGGTGACCCTCTGGGAAGTTTCTCATGGCGCGCATGAGTGAGGACAAAGTGCGCGAAAAAGGCTAATGGCGGTTTGTGAGTCACCATCTTCCCCTGATTTTTTCCAATTTACCCTAACCAATATCCTCCGGCCACCTGTATCTCCCTCGGTGCACCACCACAATCCAGCTCACCCAACTTCCTTCTCCCTGCCAGGCAGCACCAATAGTCCACCCCAGCCTCCTACTTCATCCCTCACCCCTTCGGCAGTTCGGCCAGTCCACCTCCAGCTACTCCCACGACCAACTATCATTCTAGCCCACCCTCGGCCAGTCCACCTTCATCAGCCCATGACCAATCTAGTCCAACCCCAATTCCGCCCTCAGCCATTACTTATTCTCCGGAACCTAGTCCGATCTCTTATCCTCCCACTAGCTCCCTTAGTGCCCGACTTAATGTTCATCCTATGCAAACCCGGGCCAAGTCCGGTATTTTCAAACCAAAATCAATTTTTACTTTAAATACAGTTGTTAGTGCAGTCAATCCAACTTGTTATTCCGAGGCACAGAAACATTTAATTTGGCGTGAGACTATGACAGATGAATTTAATGCGCTTATTTCCAATAATACTTGGGATCTAGTTCCATTTGATAATTCTAAAAATGTGGTTGAGTCTAAAGGGATTTATAAAACTAAATTTCACTCTGATGGGTCTATTGAGCGCCATAAAGCACGTTTGGTTGCTCAAGGATTTAATCAGCAGACTGGAGTAAACTTTTCTGAGACGTTTATGTTAGGAAATTGATGTAACGTACTTCGAAAGTACGGCAGCGGAAGTTTAAAATTTTCTCAAACAGATCTTCCCTTATTATGACAAAATAACGAATATGATAATAATAACAGATCTGAGTTAGAACTTACAGATCTTCCAGCCTAGCGGTGATAATCCTTGACCTTTGGTATCCACGTGATTTCTCCTTCCCGAAAGAACGGTTAGATCTCCCTAAGAGAAAGGCTAGGAAATCTCTTCGCAGGGAAATAAACCGGTAATACTGAATCTGAAAACTGGTCTACAAATTATGAAGGAGAAGGATGTATTTATACTAGTTCGAAACTAGTTTCCCAATCACAATGAAAGTCTTTCTAATTAATGAGTTCTAATCCTACTAGGACCAATACTCCTAATTAATTAAATAAGTAGATAAAACAAAACAAAATAATAATAATAATAATTGAGATGTGGCTGCACGCCACTTTCTAATTATTATATATTAATATTTATTTTATTTACTTTTCTTTTAATTCCAAATTACAAAAGAAAATATCTACTTTATTTAATAATAAATACATCTTATTTAAGTATGATAAATCTAATTTATCTTACTTAATTAATTTTATCAAATAGAACTCTCCTTCAGCTTCATGAATTAAATATGTTTAATCTAATTAATATTTAATTCATTTTCAGTATTACGAATTAAATATTATTTAATCCAATTAATAATATTTAATTCCTTCTAACAATTCAATCGGAAGGTATAATCACTTGTTGTGTGACCCATAGGGCCTTATATATTAAGCACTAATCAAATTAAGGTCTTAGCGAATCCCTAGACGATTCTCCAGACAAACTTAATATATAAGGACGTTTGCGAGGACTATACAAACTCCCTGTGATATAGAGCTCATAGTGATAGGGTCCTTTCATTCAGCGAACATTCAACTAAGTCTAGAACATGATATAGTGTCTATCCCAATAACTCAGTCTCTGTCTCTCAATCTTTCTAGATGATCCATAACGATCATATTCGATATCCAAAACGAATATATCTTTGCATTGGCCAATGACTTTATGATCCATCTAGATATGAGAAGTAGAATGTTCTCTCTTAATCTATTATGAGGAATGAATCCTTTCTTGGCTCAACTACTACTCCATGTGCTTCGTGATGCACCCAACACATGCCGTATCTACCCCGATTGGAGTGCAAGCGTTGGTCATGGTCAAAGTACATCACTCCGCACATGTAGTACGTATTGACCTCAAGTCGGAGGACTATTACACTACTCTATACGCCGATAATTCCATAGACACATGAATAGAACTTATCAAATGGTTTCTCGGTGGGTATGCCAATATTCTCTAAAATATCTATGTGACCATCATGAATTACAGGAACTCATAGTCGTGAGATCAACTATACTTTCTAAAAGTATGATGCAGTCCACATACCAATCTTATCGCATATCATCAATATCCCATTCTTGATGATCATTGATTGGGGCTATTTTAGGACCTTATGTTATATCATATAAGCTCTCACTTACTTATTGACAACATAAATCCAAGGGAACACAATTATGAATAAAACATTGACAATCGAAAACAATCATTCATAAAGTGTAATACCGTGTATATATCAAATATAAAAACTAAATGTGATCAAGTACATATGTCTTTAAAGAAATGATTGTCGCTAGGACATATATACTAACAGTTTAGTCCTGTTGTTAAACCCACCACCGTTCGTATTGTTCTTACTCAGGGATTTTGTTCACACTCAATTTCCTAATCATGTGTCTCGTCTGCGCAAAGCTATTTATGGTCTTAAGCAGGCCCCGCGAGCGTGGTTTCATAGCTTTAGTAGTTTCTTACTTACTCATAATTTTGTGTGTAGTAAGTCAGATAATTCCTTATTTATTTATCGTCAGGGTCAGTCTGTTATGTTTTTATTATTGTATGTGGATGACATTATTATTACTGGTAATTCTCTATCCTTTGTGTTTTCCTTTATTACCTGTATTGCTTCTCATTTTGCTATGAAAGATCTAGGCGACCTCCACTATTTTTTGGGAGTCCATGTTGTTCGAAACT